GGAAAGAGATGAACTTTTCTCTTTATTTAATCTTATATACACAAATAACATACCTCTTTTCCCTTCAAAACATCAGAGCATTGTGTTTACCGAAATGACCTTGACCCTGCACCCTGAATCCCACCTCCCCCACTCCAATAGGTATCACTGTGCACCCGCCATTTTCTTACATTTTCCTTTTACATCTGTATGCCTGAGCCCCCAGAAAATATTCAATTTCTTTTTGTGTGGTTTAATATTACACGAATTGTGTCACACTGCATGTGTCAGGCTGCAAATTGCTTTTTCCACTCAACAGTATGTTCTTGAAATACCTAGAGATCTAACTCGTTCCTTGCCGTTGCCATCTGGTTTTGCACTGAATGACTGAATGTACACTTTTTTTTTTTAAAGCTTTCCTCTATTACTGGATATTACACACCCAAATCCTGCCATCAGCATTCTTGTTCGTGTCTCTTGGCCCACAAGTGTATTTCTCTTGGGAACTTACCAATTGGAGGGTCATATTATGTGAAACTTTCAGTTTTAATAAATAATGCTAATTTGCCCTTCAAAGCGATTATGTTAATTGATTCTCATACCAGCAGCGTTTGAGAATCTCAGTTTTTCTTTGTCCTCACCAGTACTTGATGTCATCAGACATTTTTGTTTTTGCCAATCTTATGGGTAGAAGATGGTATCTTGTTTGAATGTTTCCTGACTTCTCATGAGGGGTGAGCACCTTTGTGTGTGAGTGATGGCTGTCCCTATTCTCTCATCTGTGCATTGCCTATGGGAGCCCTCATAGTACCTGCTATATTCATCTTTTGCCTCTCAGAAGTAATTTGCATATATTTCCCATGGTCTGTTATGCATAAAATCATAAATTCATTTGCTATACATGAGTTAAATTTTCATTTTGATGGAGTTAGTTTACCAGTCTTACATTTATTTATTTGTATGAATTGATTCTTATTTCTTTACAAAGAAATTATTTCCTTCCCCTCAGGTCATATGGCTAGTCTCCTGTATTGTCTTCTGATAGTTCTCTGTAATTTCCTTTCCAATAGAGTCCTAGGGCTGTGCTCTTTTTTATTTATTTTTTACTTTTTTATTTTTATTGATTTCAGAGAGAGAGAAGCGCCAATGATGGGAGAGAATCATTGATTAGCTGCCTCCTGCACACCCCCCACTGGGGATCAAGCTCGCAACCCAGGCCTATGTCCTTGACTGGAATTGAACCTGGGACCCTTCAGTCCATAGGCCAATGCTCTATCCACTGAGCCACATCAGCCAGGGCACCTGTTCTTTTTTGAAGTGGGGTTGGTGGGAGAAGGACCCAGAGATTCAGTGTTCAGTGCTGGTGTATGGAGGACCTGTCACCTGCACTGGCCTCCCTGGCCACCGGCCACTCCTGAGAAGCAGGCCCATGAGGCCACTGTGCATCCTGACAGAGTTGTCTATCTCCTGGTGCCTCAGCCGCAGCATGGCTCCCTGGCTCAGAGCACCATTCACAGGTGCCTGCATGAAGGCTGCCGGCAAAGGGCAGACTCTGGGCAGAGTTGGGCTCTATTTAGCACCTCTCTTCTGGGTCCTCCTTTGCCCAAGACATCATGGCCACCCAAAGGTGACCAGACAGCCCCAGACCCCCAGGTCAGAGCAGCGAGGGCCAGGGTGGTGAAGGTGTTCCCTAAAATGACACCGCAGAGGATCACAAGCGCATCCCCAACCAGCATCCCCTTTCTTCTGAAGATCGGACCCCCTTCTCTTTAGTCCTCGGAAGCCACTGCGTTTCTCTTTAACTGCCCCACAGGTTCTGAAAAGCCAGAGTTCCCTCCCACTTTGAGCGGTCCTGTCTCATAGTGACAGTTGCTTTTAGTTTTCTTATGAAATTTCTCACAGGGCTTTGATGCCTCAATTGCATTGCTGAAAGTTGTTCCGCTTTGGGGTTTAGTTCTTCCTTTTTTTGTTCTTTGTGGCAGAGGTGGTAGGTCTTTTTCCCTGAAGCCCCTGAGGCTTCTGGGCTTTATGAGGGGGTTGCCTGCTGACAACCCACACTGTCATCGCGCCTCACTGATAAAAGAAGGCAGTTGTCCTGTTTAGAGGGAAAAGAAGGGAGAGAAAAAGGGGGAAAAGGAAAGGAAAAGCATGCTCTATTCATTTAGTTTTGTTTCCTATTTTTAAAAAGTAAAAGATTCCCATTGAAGAACATGACTTAAGTATTTAGTAAAGAAAATAATCTCTACTTACCACAAAGAATCTATATAATAAAAGCCTAAGTGACCCTTACATCAGAACAAGAACAACCTATTGCTATGATGTGCATTGACCATCAGGGGATAGACAGTCATTGCAGGAGCTACCCCCTGGTGGTCAGTGCACAGGGGAGCACCACTCAGTCAGAAGCTGGGCTCATGGCTGGTGAGCATAATGGTGGTGGCAGGAGTAAGGAGCAGGGAGCAGGCAAGTGGTAAGGAGCGAGGGGTCCCTGACTATGAGAGGGCACAGGCTGGGCTAAGAGACGTGCCTCCTCCAACCCCCCAATGCATGAATTTTGTGCACTGGGCCTCTAGTATGTTTATAAGAATGAAAATGATGACTTACACTTCTGATAATATAGATGTCTTCCAATGTGGAACCAGAAATCCTGGATAAAAAAATTTTTAGAAATCTTTTAAAATACTTGGCTGGACTGTGGGAAAGGGAGGAAAATTATTGCCCTAGGTAGTAAGGAAGTGCAGCCCAGAGAGCTAAGCCTGTATGGTGCTGGTGTTTGCCATGGGAGCCTCTGGCATATGCTGGGAAGAATAGACAGAAACTCAAGGCCTGGAAAAGCTGAGAAGGTGGATTGGAAGACATTCATCCCCATGAATTCACAATCCCAGATAGATTATGCTCTCAGAGGATTAAACTGAAGTGTGCATGGGGGTGAGGGAGGTGCCTGAGAGAAGAGAAATTTATCTGCCACCCCTTAGACCAGTGGTCGGCAAATTGTGGCTCCTGAGCCACATTCGGCTCTTTGGCCCCTTGAGTGTGGTTCTTTTACAAAATACCATGGCCTGGGTGAGTCTATTTTGAAGAAGTGGTGTTAGAAGAAAGTTAAGTTGAAAAAATTTGGCTCTCAAAAGAAATTTTAATCGTTGTACTGTTTATATTTGGCTCTGTTGACCACTGCCTTAGACCAAAATGGAAAGTAAAATGGGAAGAGGGAACCTTGGTGAATACCTGAGCCCAAGTTTGTTATCACATGTGTTTGGGGCCAGAATTTATACTATCTGTGTTACCCCCACTCCTCTACCACCACTAAATTTAAGCTGAATATTAGGTTACAGTGCTCCTGATAGAAATTATCAAGGTAGGGGTCTACAACTGGAATGTCATTGTACACAATTGTAAATTTACTAAAATGCAAACTGAGTGCTTAAAATGGGTAAATTGTATGATATAAAATTTTACCTCAAAGCTGTGTGTGAAAACACCACCAACCAGTCTTCTAATCAGAGAGTTCTTTTAACATTTTAGTATATTTCTCTGCACTTGTATTTTTTTTTGTAGGGATATCTTTTTTTAATATATCAAAATCATAGTAAGAATATTTTCACCCTCTTTTTCATTTACAATTTTAATGTCTTTTCCAATGTCACTGCAAGTATTTGTAAAGAGGGTATTTTACTTGAATTCTTAATATGTATTGCAAATGTGTATCTTGAATACTTTCTTACTTTTAGATAATTTCAAGCAAAACAGTTATGTATAGAGCAAAAATTAAAGTTCTTTCATTGATATTTCCCCTCCCCTACCAATCACACACACACACTCCTACCTCCAGTTCTCACTTCCCTCCCCATAGGTAACCACTGCTCACAGTTTGGTTAAACATACTTTTTTTTTTTTTTTTTTTTTTTTTTTTTTTTTTTTTTTTTTTAAATATATTTTATTGAATTTGTACAGAGAGGAAGGGAGAGAGATAGAAAGCTAGAAACATCGATGAGTGAATCATCGATCAGCTGCCTCTTGCACACCCCCCACTGGGGATATGCCCGCAACCAAGGTACATGCCCTTGACCGGAATCGAACCCGGGTCCCTTCAGTCCCCAAGCCGACGCTCTATCCATTGAGCCAAACCGGTCTCGGCGGTTAAACATACTTTTTAAATGGGTGTATAATTTTCCATGTGATGGGAAAAAGTCATACTCAAAATGTTCCCCTATTTGGGGACATTTAGGTTGTTTCCTTGTTTGGCTGTTTCTTTTTAGACATGTAGCAGAGGATTCCAATGGGGGGAACTCGAGCAGGCCAGAGATTGAATGGTCCTGGTGATTTCATTGTCATCAGAATAGGCACTAAATTAGACATCGAATTTGGAGATAACTTTCAAGTAAGAGAAGGGACCCTGCATACACTGAGGACCCCATTCTAAGTTTTTTACCTGCTTTTTGCACCAAACATCTCATAAGAGGGGATATGGTTTTCATCGTCCGGATGGAAAGCCATGGTTCAGAGGGGCCAGGTGCCTTGCCCAGGATCACACACCATCTAGTGCGGAGCTCAGCTCTCCACTGCCAGACACCAACTTGAGGGCTTGGTGGTCCTGTAACCGAGCAGGGGACTCTTCCTTTGCTTCTTCACTTAATTTAGGCAAACACCATCGCAGTGGTCCACGAGGAAGCGCTGAAATGTTCACGAGATTTTCGGTTTATTTCTTCAGTTGCAATCTGCAGTCTGCACACCTAAAGTGTAGTAAACATTGCATGAGTGCTGTGTGTTTTTTATATCCGGTCTCACAGATAGTGCCCTGAGAGGGATGGACATTATTCCCATTTCCAGACAAGGATCTGAAGCTCAGACAGATGAAGAAAGTTGCCCAGTGTGACTCAGAGGAGGGACTCAGACCCAGGAGTGTGATTTCAAGCCTGGACTCTGACCACTGAACCCTGCTGCCCTGCAGAGCATGAGTCAGCTTGAGTCTCCATCAGGCTAGGAAGCCAGACTGCGCCTCATTCTGCTCTCTCTCCTCCCAGACAACAGCGACCTGATTGCGTGCACGGTGATCACCAAGGATGGCGGCATGGTCCAGCGGTTCCTGGCTGTCGATATTTACCAGATGAGTTTGGTGGAGCCCGATGTGTCCAGGCTTGGCTGGGGAGTGGTCAAGTTCGCGGGCCTCCTGCAGGTAGGATGCTGAGAACTGCAGAAGCTCTTCTCCGTTGACTGTACAAACACACACGAGTATCATCTTTATAGTTAATTTCTAATGGCACAAGGACCACATGAACAGGCTGTCATTGAAAAAAATTACAATATCTCACAGATATAGGTCAAGTCCCAAACCCAATTCTTACTCTCCCCTCCTCTCATTACCAGTAATCCTTCTAGATCTGGTCCTTGCCAAATGCATATATAAATATAACTCCATGGGTATTTTTAAAATTGTGTACATATACTTGAGAGGGGGGACGTGTGTGTATTTTTTATAGTGTCACATTGAATGGAGTCTAAACTTTGCTTTTTTTCACTTAACATATATCTTGGAGAACTAACCATGTTAGTAAATTCAGACTTACTGGAATTCTTTTCATTGCCACCTGGCACTACCAAGGCATGGTTACCAGTGCCCTGCGGCCGTTCCTAGCCTTTTACTTATACAGGGTTGCCATGAACAGAATTGATCTTCCTTCCTTGTGCACTGGGGCAGGGGTTTCTCTAGGCAGACTCCAAGAAGTTCATAGACACCGCCACATTTTTGTCTGAAATGATTGTTTACACTGGCAGTGTGTAACAGTTCCTTTCTCCTCACCCCTGTCCAGCAGAGCTAGGCTCCAGATTGCCAAAAGCCAAGTTGGGGCTTGGGTTTCCTCCATGTTTGTCTCTATGATAGGTTACCAGTGCCAGCTGGTTCACTGAGTGAGACGTAGAACTGGAAGAGTCGAAAACAGCCTCCTGGCTCACATCCCCGTCAGACCCCAGTCCCTGAATGCCCAGTGCCCTCTGACAGGTCTGGGGCTTGCCTTGCTCTGAGGCAGGTCGTTTTCTTGCTGGACGGGCCTGGCTGCTGGCATGGCCTCGCTTGGGCTGACCCACATCCGCCTCTCCACAAATGTGACCTGCTGGCAGCGTGCCGCTCTCCAAGAGAACCACCCACGTGCCTTAAGATGCTGTTGCAACCTTTTCCCCAACCTCCCCTTTTTCAAGATCTTTCTATTTAAAAAAAAAAAAAAAAAAAAAAAATGTCTTTTGCCAAGGGTGATGCGAGAAAGAACTATATGAAGAATCTTTTATTTATAAAAAGACTTCCATGTAAGTGGTTGTCCATTAGGTGACTTAGTGCTTCTTATTTATCCAGGCCTGTGATCAATTTCCTCTAGAATTTAGTGTTAGGAAAGTGTTTTTCTCCCTCGAAGGATTAATACGTGTCCTCCATCAGACAATGAAAGCCACATAAACCTTTTCTTTTGGTCGTCTTCCAACAGCCACTATTTGTCAGGCCGTTACTGCGTGCCAAACTCTCCGTCTCAAATGTGTAATATCTCATCTAATCCCACAGCAACATTTCCATGTAGGTATTATTTCCAAAGAGCCCACGCCAGCTTTAATGCTATGGACAGCAACCATCTTAATGAGCCTTTTCCAGCACTTTCCCGCCTCCCGTAGCATGTCTGGCATTCCTGTCTAGCTCCTGTCTCACTCAGGCTTTTGTCTTAAATCACCTCAAACCTTTGTGGGAAGCAGATTCTTTACACGGAGCCCATCCTGAGGTTTTAGATTGGGTTTATCCTGAATTACACTTGCTATGTGTGAGTTCCTCCTCCAGCTTTCAAACACAATGTTCTTCAGATGCCTGCTAAGTGACCCTCCTTTAGGAACCAGAGATTCTTCAGAGACATACAAATGGGTGCTAATAATGCCCCCTTTTTAAGAGAAACCAGGAAGAAATTGGTTTGTAGATGAATCGACAAATCTAATGTTGTGCCAGATGGCATAGAAAATTTGGGTTGTTATCACTGGCTTCTCAGAAGTAAGAATTTTGAAGTCTGACTGTTGGGTTCCCTTGAAGAGTCTGACTCAAGTCTTCTTGTGGATGGTACCACCCCACAAGCAGCATCGCTCCCAGTGAACGCTCTGTGCTTCCCACACTGTCTTCTCTTGCTAGGCTGATCTGGTTTGTGTCCTTCCTTGACTTGTCTTAGACTTGGGATGGTCTCCTTCAGGGCAAAAGCAAAGTTGACATTGGGGCCGGGGGCCACTTGCTGATGAGACAGGGATCCCCCAGCTTCTGAGCAGTCACCCTCCTGCACCTAAAGAACCGTTTTCTTTCACTTCCTCCTCCTGCAGGACATGCAGGTGACTGGTGTGGAGGATGACAGCCGTGCCCTAAATATCACTATCCACAAGCCTGCCTCCAGCCCCCACTCCAAGCCCTTCCCCATCCTCCAGGCCACCTTTGTCTTCTCGGACCACATCCGCTGCATCATTGCCAAGCAGCGCCTGGCCAAGGGCCGCATCCAGGCGAGGCGCATGAAGATGCAGAGGATAGCTGGTGAGTGCTTGGTCCTGGGGCAAAGTCCTCTGAGCTGTCAGTGTGGTTCTCACGTTGACCTTGAGAACCCCCATAACTCTCCAGAAAAGGACACGGTTCAGGAATTAATTGTGTTTTGGTGAGAGCGTGGAGAATCTGCTCAGAATTCCCCATTTCCTACGGACTTGATTTCTAGAGAGTTTCTAGGGCCTTGTGGAAGAGAAGGAGAGCTCTCCCGACCAGGGCAGAGGCCATGAACAGGCGGGTGTCAGTGGGTCAACTGTTCTCACTCCTGCATGTGGATATTCTCTAGCTTGCATTAATAAAGTGCTTCGGCGTTCCTGTACCACATTTTATTCTTAAAGCAACCCTTGAGATTAGTAGGGCCTGTTGTGCCCATTTTATAGATGAGCAAACTGAGGCTTGGTGACTTGCCCAGCATCACATAGGCAACTATTTGGAAGAACCCAAGCACAGAATTTCTTACTCTATTTCCCATCCCTTCCCAGCTCTCATGAGAGTTCGCCCTGCTTAGTGAGGGGCCAGGACCCAGTTCTGAAATCAGAAGTCCTTTTACATTTCACAGGGATATGGAGAATTTGTAAGAGACCCTCTGTGAGATTCCCAGGGTTGGGAATGCCCCAGCTTAGATATAAAAGCACTGAGACGAGGGCAGTCCAGATGTCAGGGTGGAAAGCATGTGTTTTCCTTGGGGAAGAGGAGTGCTATCAATTACTAAAATTATAAAGTCTTTCTCAAGACACTAGCGCCTTTCTGTTCAAGCGCTGATGTTCATTCTGGTGTGGTCTCTGGGAGGCTTTCCAGTCCACGGGGGGAGGAAGAGAGCTTTCTTTACCTAAAAATAAAGATGCAGAGAGCGGGGTTTCTGGCCCTTGTGGATTGTTATTTCCTGCACATGCCTCGTTGATTTGTGCAAGTCTGCATCCCATATAGTCCCCATCTTATTTCTCACTTAGCTGAAACTTGGCCTGCAAAATCATTACAGAAGCATTTGTAATGTGCAAAGTGACTTAAATCACTCAGTCCTTTCTCTTAAGATTTATTTTCAGAGGGTCTTTTTTTTTTTTTTTTTTTTTTTTTTTTTTTTTTTTTTTTTAATGTAAAGCAGTTTCTCACAGCTGCCATGAAGGCTAAATATTTCATTTGAAAATTGAGAATTATGCCGTAAAGTGGCTGTGAGAACTAACACCTTGAGTATTTCTTCAATTGATCTTTAAAAGCCCCTCCAAATTGCTATATCATGAGATTTGTTTATGGAAGGGAGGAAGCAACTGTGGCAGATAAACACACACTCATAAATACACACATACACATGTGTGTATCTTCTCTCACATACATTCTTCCCCGTGTGCACTCATATGTGAACTTTTAGGGTAGAATTGGCCCCATTTGCTGTAGGATCTGAAACTACCTCTGGCTAAGGCTTGGCCTGTGTGGGTGGAAACCAGGAAACCTAGGTGGGACCTGGCCCTGCATCCATTCCTGAACCCCTCGCCAGCTGTGTTTTAAGGTTCAGGCTGGACCTGTGGTTATCACACTGGTTTCCCCAGCTTGAGGCTATCAGTTGCCTGCTTGCATCGCCCAAGGGATGTGCCTGGCAGGGCCTGGCCACTCCAGCTATAACCACCCCGCCCAAAGCCTCCTCACCTAAACTTTCATCCCGTGCACTGAGCATGACCATGGGTTTGTTTGAATGTAGCCCTCCTGGACCTCCCGATCCAGCCAACCACTGAAGTCCTAGGATTCGGACTCGGCTCCTCTTCCTCCCAGCACCTGCCTTTCCGATTCTACGACCAGTGCCGCCGAGGCAGCAGTGACCCCACAGTGCAGCGCTCTGTGTTCGCGTCCGTGGACAAGGTACCAGGTGAGCCGGCCCCACCCTGCGCCACCGCGTGTCCCCCTCCTGGGGGTCCAGGGCTTTCCCTCTATTGAGCCTGTGTACGCTGCTTCTCCCTTCTTAGAAACCCAGCTAGTTGGAAGCACCAGATAAATTTCTTAGAATTTACCAAAGTGTAGCACAATATTAAACACAAGCCACAGAAAGAAACCTTGGCTCTCTCTTCGGTGTTCCGCCTGGCTTTGGTTTTCCAGAGGTTTGTTGGGGATGTGGAAGGACTTCTCAGAATTAAGAAAGAGGTTTCTTGAAAATTCTTGGAAATACTTAGATGATTAGTAATGAGGTTGTAGGAGAGTAGTTTCCTTCCATGTAGGGTGACTAGAAAGAGATAGTGTATGGATCCCTGCTACAAACCCCCTAAAGAAGTGAGACTTGAGAAAAGGACCCCGCCCGCCAGTGTCTCCTATCCGGGAGCCTCTCTAACCACTTTCACCAAAGCTCATCCCCTCTCCCAAAAAGGAAGCATGAATAGAAAGTTCAAGGTCGCCTTGGTGGAGCAGGAAGAACTGTTTCTCTAGAAGGGCAGGCCCTCCCTTTTCTGTTCTGACACTTCTGACTTAAGTAATTCCCTATGCACCCCCATCCCTCAGAGGAGAGCTTTGCTCTTCATTGTAAAACCTCAGAAAATGGGCCCGGTGGCTGCTGCAACTTAACCTCCCCACATTTAGGGTTTTGAACTTCAGTCACAAACGTTGAAAAACGTTTTCAAAAGCAGTTACTGATTTAAGAAAAAACTCAAACATTAGGACCTGTCCAAAGTCAGAGTCCTTGCTTCCCTTCTACCCCATTCTGTTTTCATTCTTTCATTCTTTAATAGTGTGCTATTTGCTTGATTCATTTTGAAAATATATATACTGTAAGCTTATGATATTTGAAAATCCAAACAGGACATGATAAAATTAAAAATAAGTCTACTTGGCCCAAGAAACTTTTAACACTTTTAACAACTTTTTTACATATCCTTTCAGAAATGTTTTTTTATGTCATATGTATCTGTTTTCACACCGGGATTATATCGTATATATGATTGTGCCTGGCCATTTTACTTTTAATAAGACAGCGTTACATGTTAGCACATATAAACCGACGTCATGCTCCTTAACTGTTAGTATTTTTAATGCAGAGGGACCGAAAACATCTTTTATAACATTTGGTATGGTGGCATTTGGGTCATCTCCAGTATTGAGCTCTATTGCAATGAGTGTCACCTTGGATCTGCTCTGGGTATCTGTGCAATTGTGCAAACCTCACGTGTCTGTGGGATGGACCTGCCATCAATGGACCTGCCATCAATGGGGAGGCTTTTCACCCTGATATATATAGTTGCAGCGTGCATTCTGGGGGGAAAAAGTACACCAATTTACACTTCCATCCAACCCAGGGCTATTTTCATTCTTAAAACCAGTCTTAGGCTACGAGGCAGTTGGTAACACTGGCTGCTTTCAGTTGTGAAACGGCAGATGATTTTGCCACTCTGGGGTCTGAAGGATTCTTTTTACTCATTCTCCAGGTTGCTTCATGTTTCTTAGAGGTAATCGCTATTCAAATATAAATGATGACCATGATAACTAAGTATAGATTAGCCTGGTTAAAAAAAAAAATTATTTTTTCCTTCCTCTCTCGCTCTCCTTTTTACACACAACTGTCATTTTATTATAAATTTATACGCACCACTTTGTAACTTTTTATTGAGATATAGTTGATATATAACATTTTATTAGTTAAAAAGTCATTTTTTTAGGGTCATTGAAGTGTCTTTCGCTCAGGCTCTAATGGGTTAAGGAAAATTCCCTGGGCTTATTTCCGCTCCTTCCTTTCTGAAACAGGGGAGTGTAAGTAAATAAATAGAGGCAAATGTCACATTCTTCAGCATATGCATAATTATCTCTCTGTTTGCAGCAGGCTTTACATGACTTATTGCTTGCTTCTCCCACCCTGCCGGAGCCCAGGGTTACTGTAGGGTCATCCGGTGCTGGGGTGTGGCCAGGTCTATAATGGCCTGCCTGGCAGTGGGGTCGGCACAGTGTCCCAGGTTTGGGTATGTGAAGTTGGGCCAGGGGAATTGGCAAATCAAAGGTAGTTGCTCAAAGCAGCCATCCATCCCTTGGCTGTGAATCTCCCCTGGAAGTGCCACTCAGGTATGGGCTGGGGTAGGGACATGCTCACACATGTGCTTTCCAGGTCGATTATGCTGAGCCTTTGGTTACAGAGGCCTCGCATCCCTCTTGCCTTGGCCTGGGCTAGAGATGTGACCTAAAGAGCAAATCGAAACCATTGAGACTCAGAGAGGGAGGGGAGCTCTCCCTGGCTCCCACCCTCCTCATCATCTGCTGTCTCAGTAGTCAGCCCAGCATCACAGAATCATCTGAATCCTGCTCTTCCCTCTCCCACACCCACTGGCCTCCTCTGCTTACAGAATATGCCACACTTTCTCATCCCCTCCCAGCCACCAGCATCTCTCCCTAGATCATGGCAACAGCATCCTCAGTATCTCTGGCTTTCGATCTCATCCCCTTTCCATTCAGCTAGAGGGATTTTTCTAGAACAGAAATCAAATCCAAGCCCCTGCCTGCAACCCTCCAGTGGCTTCCAGTTAGTTGCACTCAGAACAAAATCAGCTCTCTCTCTCTCTCTCTCTGATCCTATGATCACTGTGCGGTTGGCTCCAGCTGGCCCCTCTCAGACGCAGCTCCTCCTCCCCGTGGTCAAATGCCATCCCCACTGCTCCTCTAAATCAGCACTTGCCAAAATTTCAGCCTCCACAGGACCCGTTATACTCTTAAAAAATATTGAGGAATCCATAGAGCTTTGGATTGTATCTACTGGTATTTTAAGATTTGAAATTAAAACTGAAATTCTTTTTAAGTATTTATCTGGCTTTCTAGCAGACAGTTGGAATCTCGTGTCTGCTCCTGCTTTCTGTGCATGCATTATGTGGCCTCTGGAAAACTCCTCTGTGTACTCCTAGGAATATGAAAACAAAAGGAAAATGCTGTCTTGTTATTTTTATGAAAGTCGTTCTGACCCTGGGAGGCACCCCCCGCCTCCAATGTTTCCCAGATCACACTCTGAGAACCACTACTCTATTAAGTCACTGAACTCTCTCCTGCTCAGGGCCTTTGCATTGGATAGCCTTCTCCAGATCGGTGTGGCTGCCTCCTACTAGTTACTCGGGCCTCAGTCTCCTCAGAGAGGCTTTATTGATCATACCCTCCCCCAGAAAGGTTTTTCCATCACATTAGCCTGGTCTGTTTTCTCTGTGACCCTGGGTTCCTTATCTGGCTGACCTATCTGCGTAACTGTCTATGGTCTTTCTCGCCCATGGAAAATGTCACTGCCAAGGGGACCGGATCTGTCCTGCCCCCACTGTATCTCAGCGCCTAGCACTGAGCCTGCATTCACTAGTTGTTGAATGAAACATGAGCACAATCTTGGCACAGTTCCCACATAATGCCTTCTCCCTGTGTCAACATCCGGAAGATGAGGAAATTTGTTCTGGGACCCTAGACATTGGGTGGTTTACTCTGTGGCACTTGGACGAGGAAACCAAGATTTCAGAAGATTGTAAGAGGATCCCTCTGCTTAATTTCGATCAAACAAAGTGAATGAGATGTGCATCCCGAGAGGGCCGATACACTGAAGGGTAGATTTGGGTCAGTTGCACATCAACTGAATTTCACTGCCCTCACCTTTGTCAGAGGTTTGCAGAAGCCGAAGAGTGGGCTGGAGGGAGGCATCAGAAGCACAGCCCAGATTAGCCTCCGAAGCTGTGGCCCATGAGCCCAGCACTTTGCTGGGTCCCGTGAGCCCAGCACTTTGCTGGGTCCCTTGCCACAGGCTGTGCTGTTGCAGACTCCCAGGCTGGGTGGGGTCCTCACTCTGGCCACCTGCCTCAAGGTGACTGCTAGACAGGCCATTGCTGTCATGACGCATCTTCCAGTTCTATCTGCAGGCCCAAGAAATTGTCACAGAGCAGTTTGTCTCCCCTCAGAAGCTATAAATGATGATATTTGATGAAAATATGCCTTTCATTTCCTTAGAAGAGATATTAGAGTAGAATATAAATCAGGTCTAATAGACAACTAGCCACTTTGATATATTTTTCTTCTTCCATTTGGCTTGGAAAGAAATCACAGTTTCTGTTTATTAGCTGGTTTTATGTTGATGGGTCTCTCCCCACAGAATGGTTGGCTTTACAAGGGCAGAGGCCTGTGTGTGTGCCTGGCCTGGGAGGTGGAGGGATAGTGGTGACCCAGGTATTGGGGTGGCAGGCAGGACTGGTTCTGGAGTCTGGCTTTGAGGTGCAGGGCTCCATGGTTAGTGCCTCAAGGACCCATCCCACTGACCCACCGTGACAGCTGATGGCCAGGAGCTGTCACTGGGGGAAGGGGGAGGAGTGAATTTCCAAATGAGCCACCAGGGCAGTCTCTCCATGAACACCGAGCGGACCAGCAGACCCAGAGCAAAAGCCCAGTCAGAGGGCCAGGGCCCTGGCTTCCCACTCCTGGGCTCCTTCTGGCCAAGAGGCTCTTCCAGGTATTCCCTGGTGGCAGAGTGGCAAGCAGAACATCACAGTCTCTCTCGTTCAGGTCCTTCCTGGACCCTTTCTAATTCTTATCTAAATAGAAGGGCTCTGCAGCCCAGAGGGCATTGTGGGATTTGAGAGGGACATTTAGGCAGGTTAACACCCACGGGTCCTCACTGATGGGGACTTAATGACATGACCTTGTTTATCGTGAGCCATGCCACACCAGCCTTTTAGCTCCAGTGACAGTGCTTAAAATCCCCAGCACCTCCTGTCCCCAGCCCCTCTCCATGGCCCATTGGCCCTCTTTCCACTCTCAGCACCTCTTTCCCCTCCTCCCCTCTCCGCTCTCTCTGCTTAATACAGTCCAGCATTTCAGCTGCATCAGCTTTCTGTCTGCGCCTCATAGGGGCCAAGCACATCGACTTCTGTCCTCACACTT